CATATAGTAAATAATTGGAATTCGTATTTAATTCGGAATCGTATTGTCGATCAAATTTCCTTTTATGGTAATACGACTACATGTATGATTGGTATTACAGCACATTTTATCAATAGTAAATGGAAAATGAAACATTTTTTGCTTGATCTAATTCATTTTGAATCAAATCATACTGGAGTACGTATAAAAGAAAAAATAACTCAGCTTTGTAATGATATGAATATCAGCAATAAAGTTATCACATTAACTACAGACAATCACTCAGCAATGGTTTTATGTGGAGAATTAATGAAAAAAGAATGGAATGAATTCGAATTTGGACATTATAGATGTGCGGCACATATTCTTAATATTGCAGTTAATCATGGAATGCAACTTCAAACCACATTAATAGAAAAAGTTAGAAGTTTTGTAACAAAAATTCATCAGTCAACTATTTTATGTGACGACCTTCGACACTTTTGTGCAATGAATAGGAAAATTATATTACACCTAAAATAGATATAATTACATGCTGGAACAGTACTTATGATATGCTTTATCGATTCAAACAAATGCGTGCTGAGCTAGATCTTCTTGTGACAAAACATCACTTTGAATATATTTTTCTTAATCAAAATGAGTGGAAGCAAATTAATACCATAATTGAACTCCATTATCCTATACTTGAAGCTACTATATTACTTTCATCTAGTTCATATCCAATAATATCTGATATTCGTTTATCTTTTGGAGGAATTCTTCGACATCTTGATAGATTTATTAATGATGAATTACATTCTGAACAAGAATGTATGATTGCAGATTCTATACGATATAAGCTAAATGAATATTGGTTGCTTCTGGATAAATCAATTACAATAGCCGCAATTCTTGATCCATCATCAAAACTTACAACATTTTTATCTGATGAAAAAAGAAATAGGGCTATTACAGATTTACGTTATATAATGAATCAATATACTCCACAAATTTCCAAAACAAATACTACTTCTTCGAAAAACAAAAAAAGATCATTTTTTAAATTGTTATTAGAACAACAACAAACAAATGAATTACCACCAGAGGAATTAGAATTATATTTATCTTTACTATCATGTTCTGATGAAGATACTCTTAACTGATGGTTAACAAATAAGCATCGATTTCCAACTTTAGTGAAGATAGCACGTAATTATTTAGTTATTCAAGGAACAAGTGTTTCTTGTGAAGAAGCATTTTCTACAGCAGCAAAAACACTTACAAAAATTCGCAATCAACTTCATCCTAAAACTGCCCGTGCTTTACTTTGTCTAAAAAGTTGGATGGAACAAAATATTGAAGTGCAAATAGTGTAACTAATATTATAGACAAAAAAATAAATTATATTATATAATAAATATACTATATATAATGTAATTAATATTTGTTTAACAATAATTAATTGGTTGAGTTTTAATATAGCTTAAATAAATAATACATGAAATATTTTACAATGTATAATTAAAATTATAATTTACGTTTTAAATTTTTTTTTTAAATTATTATTTGAAATATAATAGCAAGCTAATTAAAGCTGAAGCTAAAGCTATCTTTATTATAAATTAAGCCGTAACTTAAAGTTATGGCTCAAACAATGGCTAAACTATCAATATAGCTTGGCTTAATTCAAATTGGCTTTAAGCTATAACTAAAGCTGGCTTAAAATAAAGCCAATAACATCCCTAACTATTCCCATTAATGATAGACATGTAAATCTAACAATCATGCTAGTAACAATAAATGCAGGATAAAAATATAATGAATGAACATATTAATATAATGTTGAAGGCATGTCAATACTTAAAACTAAATTGAATTAATGTTTTCAAAGGATCCTCTCTTTATTTTTTAAAAAATAAGGAATAGTTATATTACAATAGCCAAGAATTTTTCATCAAATATTGCCAAATAAGAAAGTTTATTATAAAATAACAATATGAATAATTATATTATCAATACTAATTATATTCTTAACCAACCAGAAAATTTTTTGCTACATATAATAAAAATTGAAACAGAATACAACAAACTATATATCTGCTCTCCTTATTCACAGCACAATGCATAAACCTATATTAAATATAGGTACACATAATATAAAAGGCATTAATCAAATTTTGAAGCAAAACAATTTTATAGTCAAAATATAAGAAAAAGAAAATTGATATCCTAGGTATTAGCAAAACCAAATTGTAAACAAACAATGTACACTTTGCCTTTACAAACTGTACAATCTACAAATACTATATGAACTTAATATAAAAAAATCCCAATAAAGATAGTATGACTCTTTTAATTAAAAAGATCTTTTCAAACATATAAAAAAAATAGATAAAATAGATGTCATATTATAGCAACACATCTTTTCTTTAGAAAATACAAACTAATAATTATCTAGATATATCTATTTAGCAACAAAAAAGTACACAGTGAATCCTATTAAACCGAAATGGCCAGGACTATTAGTAAAATTTTTTGAAAAATTTGGTTTAGAGAGGTTTACCTAGTAAATTCAATTTAACGAGGTAATTTACAATATAATGGTTTTTGAGCAAACTTTAGAATAATAGAAATTTAATTAGTACTTCGGTTTAACAGAATTCGATTTAACAGGGTTGACTATGTATTAATAAATAATACATTAACTTATTCTATCAAAAACTAAAAACAAAATAATCTTAATAGATAACTTCAATATTGTTAACATTCAATTACTAATAGACCATATAATAGTAAACTCTTAAACAACTGGAGACAGAAGTTAAAATATTAACTTTCTTAACACTGGATATTTACAGATATTTATAAAATATAGAAATTTGAGCTTCTATTACCAACTTGATTTGAAAGAACTTCTTACAGTAAAATAGATTATATATAAACATTACCAAACATTACTTTAAACAATATCTATTTATTTTTCAATAAAAAAGTAAAAAACATAGTCAATAGTAATTATATTTTATTCTGCCTTAAGTTTTTTACAAAAATCTTACAGTATATAAAAAACATATTTCATAAAAGAGAAAAAAGAAATCAATAACAATATTTTATCAAAACTCAATAGCTAAACAATAAAACAAGTTTGTTGAAAAGTTAAAGAGAAAATACAAGCCAGCAACTTTAATATTACTCTCCAAAGCATTATATAACAATGTTTAATAAATCAGAATCCTATATTAAACAACATATAAAATAATAGTACAATAAATACAATAATAATAGATTAACTGAAAAAAATCTAAAAAAATTTCAAACATTATATAATCAGTTCAATATACTCATCCTTAACAATCAAAAAAATTAGAAATAAAACATGCCTTTAAAAAGAATAAGTATATTTTTCAGAATTTTTTAAGTATTACAAAATTCTATATATTTCTAAAACCTTTAATACTGTTAAACTTTTAGAAAGATTAAATATTTACAAAACCTTTTAAATTTTATATACAAATTTAACAAGTCATATATTACAATCTTGTCTATTCAAGATTATAGCAAATATATATAGAAGAAATCAACTGAATATATGGAAAAAAAAATTAAAGAAACAGTATTGACAATTAAAAAAATATATATAAGAGAAGAAACAAACATAAACTTAAAAATATTAATTTAACTCTTATACAACAATATCTGAATTACAAATGCAACTTGAAAAATTTGATTTTTTTTCTTACTAATAATTACAAAACATTTGTAAAATTGATTAATTTATAATATCAATAATAGAGGAAAATTTCTTTGCATCAAAATCAATTTCAGATTTCATCAATATATAATAACACAATCTCAAAAAAAAATCAACAGGTGAAAAATATTATATTCAAGTATTCCAAAAATAAGATTCCAATATTAACAACCTGAAAGGATCAATATAAGCTTTGCTCCTAAATAGATCATTAATGGTTTAATCACTTTTTAAAATAATTCAATATATTTGAAATAAAGAAAATTCTTAAAAACTTTTTAAATAACAAAGCTTTCAGATCTTTGGCATATTATATGAAGCTCTCAAAAAACCCAAAACCCAGAATAAAATATTACTTATCAATTTGTTCTATGTCTTTTTTATATCAGAAATTATTTCAAAATCATAAAAACAAAATAACATATATCTAATATCCAAAAAAAAAGATTGTATAGCTAACCTTAGTAATATCAAATCAATAGTACTAATAGAAACAATATACAAATACTTTATAAAACTAATCACAAATGCTTTACAAAACTAATCACAAATAAATAATTATTAATACTAAAAAAGAAAAACATTTTCAGATGGCTAAATTTTGCAAGTCCCAGAAAAAAATATATAAAAACCAATACAACTTATTAATAACATCTGTAAAAAGCAAAAGAACAAAAAAAAATTCTGGATTTTCTTTTAAAATATAGTCAAAGCATTTAATACTATTAATCTAGATATTGTTAAGATTATTTTTGGTGAGTCTATTGCTTCTGTCGCAGGCTTGTGTCACATTTACGATAAGTACATTAAGGTTTCCTAGAGACATATATTATTGATTTGGCTGAAATAAAGTACTCTTCCTAATTCTTCCTTTCCTTCTCTTTCTATTACTACACTTTCTTGATGACCTTTCCACTTTCCTATTTTCTGGGGATCCTGATATCTTCCTCTTTCATGATAAGTACTGGATTTAGGTAAGATTTAATTAGCTTTTCTCTTTTAAGGCAACATTTATCACATAGTCTAAAAAGAAATATCTTAATTTAGGAATGGTTTGTCTTTATTTCATACTCCTTTTATCTAACTCTACTGTTTCTAATTAATTAACTATTATACACTCTCTCGCTATTGGTTAATTAAGTGTCAGTTAAGTTAAGTATCAGTTCAATTAAGTATCAGTTAAGTTAAGTGTCAGTTAAGTTAAGTATCAGTTAAATTAAATATCAGTTAAGTTAAGTATCATACTCTTTTACCTCATCCTATCTATTTATTTATCTATAACCCTCTTCTTTTTGCTTATAGTGACGTCATCCCTATTATTTATTTCTATAAACTATTCCAGACTTATAATGATTATAACTCTAATTTTAAACTTTATGCTTACTAAGTCTACTTCGTGATTAAGTCCTAATTAGATGTGATACACAAAAATCACATTTGTAACCTAATTGACTCAACCTTTACTCCTAACAATATACTATACAAAGCCCAAATTAGACTTAAAATATTAATATTTATAACAAACTTGTTAATAGTACTGTTTCAAAAAAGAAACTTCTAAGTCATAACAAATCATGGTTTGATAAATACAATTATAGTAAAAAATGATATAAATCAAGAAGATGCTATATTTTTACTTTTATAAAAAATCTTCTATAATCCCTTACTTTACAAAATTAAAGAAAATACAAATCTAAGATATACTATACAATATATTTGAAAACCAGTTATTTTAGGTAACAAAAATAAAATATTTAAGCTATACAGTATAGCTATAATATATATAGATAATACTACCTGAATACTTCATTCCAAATAAAATCTTTAAAAAATTCTAAATAAAGCTAAAAAATTTTACAAAGCAAATAACTTACAAATCAATAATCTAAAATTAGTTTTATTTAATATTAATAGTATAAAAAATCAAGAAAATAACTTTATAAAGGTTAAAATAAATCAGGTATTAATTTATAGAATAAAGATTTAAGATTTAATACAGTTTTTAAGAATTTAAATTGGAAGCAAAGATTCCAAAAAGATATAATCTATAGAATCTATCAAGAGATTAACAAAATAATAATTATACTCAAAAACAAAAAAGCAACTGACAAACAAATCCTTTATATATTCAATAGAGTTTTTATTTTCAGAATTGAATATAAAATCCAAAACTAATATATTTTATAAAAAAAATATGAAAAACTTATAAAACAATATAAAAAGATTTTTAAATACAATACAAAAATCATTAGCACTATTGAAAATAGTATTATTTACAACAGAAACATTTTAAACTTAAAAAGTATTTGGGATATTCAAATAGAATCTCAAATTATTAAACTTATTAATAGGTTTAATAACAAGGAATAAATGACAAGTCTATTATAATTAAACTCAAACAAGTATAACTTA